TTTTCAGCGCGGCTTTAATGCCATTGAAGATATGAAAGATGCAGATATTTTGAACCAGTATGAATGAACATGGCTGATGGAAATATAACACCTGACGTTCTAGAACATTTATCTCAAAGAACTACACAGAACCATAGAGATGGTATATTTGGTGAAGAGTTTAGAAAGAAAGTTAGGGAGAGCGAAGGAAGAGAACCTATTGTACATGACCTTGCAAACGAAAGTTTGCAAAATGTCATAAAAACTTACTTTGCAGACGATGAATCGAGAAGGGATGAATATTTAAGAAAACTCAAATGGACAGTACCAGATGAAATGTTAGTATTGAAAAACATGTTCCTTGACAAAATAAAACCAACTACAGAAATAAACGACGCAAGACTGAAAGATTGGGTAGAAGCTTTCCCATTCACAAAAGATATAGTTGGTAACATGGAAAGAAAACCAGAATGGCTACAAAAACATATATTGGAAACGAGCTTATTCCATATGGACAGGCACTGTTTGAAGAGCTTGAACCGGAAACTCAGGAAAGAGTCATGCAAACAATACGCGAAGACTCAAATACAGACTATGACAAACTCTTTCTAGGATATAGGTTACCTGAGATGGGCGACCAGACCAAAAGGCAAAAAGGACATGGGAAATTTGCAACATACTAGATGAACATAATGCAAAGATGCAACAACTTCAAGCAGAGGGCAATGAAGGAAAAAGAAGAGTTAAAAACTCAGTCAGGAAGAAAGTAAAGCTTGGTCCACGTGGGTTCTATTATGACATATAAATCCAACTATTCTATATTTTTACTCATATGAAATGTACGCCGCTCAGAATATAACGCCAACAGTTTTGGATGCTATGAATGGAAATGTTTCCGAATGGTATAACGAATGCGACAATGCCATTAGAAGGTCAGAAATAGTTCCTGGAACTTACGAATATACAACTGCTGTTTCTTATGGAAACGTAGGTGAGTTTGGAGAAGGTTCTTCAACAACAGTAGATATTGCTTGCGACAGGTTTCATATAATTTCTATTGACAACTCATTCTTATACGTGGAACAAGACATTGAAATAAAACCTTCTGCCAAGTTGTCTGACAAGAAAGGTTGCAATGGAATTTTCTATGTCGGATACCAATATGCTCCAGAAGTTTTCATGGGATATAAGATATATTCTAACTCTGACTTAGTTCAAACAGTAACATGGGCAAACTATGAATGGTTCGCTTTGAGAAACTCAGTACAACCACAAGCTAGAGAACAACAGACCAGTATGCAACTATTGAGAAAATAAGAAGACTTGACCCTAACGTTCCAGGAGTTTATGTTAACCTTTCTGGACAAACTGCAGCAGCAGTAACCAAAGTAAAATTGAAACTTAGAGTTCCTTTGTCATCTTTCCTCATCTTCAGGTTTTTAAGATACTTGCCAAACTGGGCAGGAAAAATTTCTATCGAACTTACTCCAAGCAAAAATAACTTAGTCATTGCACCAACACAAGACCCATTTCACTCTTACAGACGTAAAGGGAGCAAATCAAACGTCATTCGCCGAATTTTGCAAAGACAAAGTTGACTTAGACTTTGGTTTCTCAAACCTCAACACTGAAGTAAACTACTACTTCAATGCTGCTGGAACTGCTTGGGACCCAGTTAAGTTCACATGCGAAAAATTTGAATGCAAGAGAATAGAAAGCAGACTTGCAGTCTATATGTTGGACCCAGATATTTCAAATGCTTTAGCTGCCAAATATATTGCAGTTCCACTTATGTTCCCTATACACCAAATATCTGTCAAAGACTTTGCAGGTGAAGTTGGAAACCAAAGTGCTGACCCAGGTGCAAGAACAGATATTGCTTTAACAACTGCAATGAAACATGCAGATACTCTGTTTGTTCTTTTCAGACGAACTATAAATGACTATTCTTGTTTCTACAACCCTGGTATTAAATATCATATAAACATAGATGGCAAATATTATCCAAGAGAAGAATATTCTACAGTTGAGGATATGAGGTCATACAACTTGACATTAGATGCTATGAACTTTAACAACAACTTCACAACAACCATTAACCCTGAAATGCAAAGTTCTATTATGCCATATGTGAAAGTATGGACTCATACAGGAGGTCAAAAAACTCAATATACAAATGGAGACCGTTCAAACTTTTGGCTTGGCATTCCATTTGCTGACTCAGAAGACTTTATGGGTGGTATTTCAACTGTTGGTACTGTACAAATACAATATACTGGTGACAGAGACGGTCCAGATGAATTGAGAGCAAAGAAGTTTACAAAACCAATAGCACTTTTCACGGAAGATGCTCTTTTGAAGATTCGTTCGATGAAACCTGCTGGGGCTCCTCAGATTGGCATAACGACAGCTTCCATCGAGCAGATTTTGGCAGCAGGTCAGTAAGTTGTTCTTGAACTGACTTCTCTCCGTCAAATATTGACAGTACGCCAGTTTTGACATAAAATTGTATTATAAACTTACCTTTAGAAATATCGTCAGTTTTGTTGCTATATTTTGTCAACGTCAAGAACTTTCACCATCTCGGTTATACCAACTTTCTTTGCTTTATGAAAATATTTTGGTTCAGCAAAGACTGCTATTCTATAACATTTTCCATTGTTTGTGTAAAGAACTATTCTGTCAATGAACTTGTATTGTTTGTGTGTGTAAACTTTGTTCTGCTTCAATTCGAAGAGATACTCAAATACGTCCATCTTTTTATTCTAAGTAAAATGTCATTTCCAAAAATAGAAGCGTAAGTGTTTCAAAAGGTTTAATGGCGGTGGCAGATGTGAAGTTAAATTCACCAACTCAAACAAACAGTCAAAGTGTTGTTGTCAATGTCAAAGACAGAGATGTTGAAGTGGGGAAACCATACGAAGACCAAGATGGTATAACAATAGTTCCTGTAAAAGAACAACAACATACCCTGAAGTTAGCAGAGACTTAAGTTCTGTTGCAGATATTCGAAACGACTACCAACAACTGAAAGACAAACTTCAAACTCAGGAGAAGATTTGTCAGGCTTTAGGTATAATGTTAAACTTGGTTGAGCACAACCCTGTAAAAGTGAACTCATATGTCATTGCACCTCATGAAGTTTTGAAAGAACTATTGAAACTTTTGACAGAGGCAGACGATATAAACATCAAAGAAATAGAACCCGACGTTAGTTGCTGTGGTGTTTCATATAATGTCATTGACAAGATATACGTTATGAAAGGAGGTGAAACGTTGAACTTAAAGTATAGTTTCCCAGACGTCATAAAAATATTTGACGACCACAACATTTCATTAAAATTTATTTGCTAAGTAAATGGCAGAAGACATAGTGGTTTATACTATTACGACTAAAAACCCTGAGTCATATAATTCTATAACAACAAACTTACAAAGTCCTCAAGGACGATATTGTAAACTAACCTTAAACACAATGACGACTAAAGCCTGTTTTGCTCTTTTGACACCAGAAGACTTTGTTGTTGTGAATGGTAAAAAATACTCCTTTGAAGATACTTACTCAGATATACCACCAACAGGTTTTGTTGACTTATTTAATACTTTAAGGACGGATGTAACATGTGCTGCAACTAGAGCAGGTTTCATTATGTTTGGATGTCCGACTGAGTTTAGTATAAACGATATGAGCTATAATACAAAACTTATATCTGGTTTTTACTACCAACAGTTTCCTATAACAGGAAAAGGTGTCATACAAGGAATGTCTATTCCATTGACTTTAAGTACACCTATTTTATATATTGTTTCAAACTTAGGTTCAAAAGTGCTATTCGAATGTCGACAGAAACTACTATGACCAAAAGATACTCATGCGTATAAAACAACACTTTCTCTGCTGGTTTGCCTATTGTTCATTCGAATGCAGAGTTTTCAACCTTAGTGAACTCAAACACTTTGGCAAGTATAACGTTGACATTAGTTGACGCAAACTTTGTTCCTGTAAAACTTTTATGTCCTATGTATTTGTCAATGACGGCAGAAAGTTTCGAATTGGAAGATGCAACTGGTGAAAGTATTGTACTACAAGAACAACTTCAACAACAAATAGCTCAAGAACAACAAATGCAACAAATGGAACAAATGCAACAACAAAGTCAAGAACAACAAATAGCTCAAGAATAAAAAAAATATTTTTTTTTATTCTTATAAAAATGTACAGAATAGACGTTTTCAGATTTTTTATGACTTCCCAAGCGTTCAGAAATATGTGTCCATTTAGAGACTATAACAAAGCAGTCGAGAATTTGAAACGTTTAGTCATTTATGTCGACTCTGCCCCAGAATGTTATGTCATGAAAGAATGGGATGTTGTCTTTAACAAACCAAGAGCAACCATAGTTTCAGAACAAGAATGTAGACAGAAACTTAAGAAAATAAAAGTCGTACAAGTTGGTATGAAGATGTTAGATGCTTGGGATATCTTATTGTCAAAGTTAGAAGATTTTTCAGTTCGTGGTATAAAGTTCTATACACCATCTCCAAACTTCTATTCTATCTTCACTGGATATAAATACGAACAAGTAGAATGGAAAGAAAATGTTATAGAAGCTTGGTTAGACCATGTCAAAGAAATTATATGCAATGGAAACGAAAGAGTCTATGAGTATATCTTATGTTGGTTTGCAAACATCTTACAATATCCAAGTGCTAAAAATGAAACTGCTCTCATTATAATTGGAAAACAAGGAACTGGTAAGAACACTTTCTTTACAGATATCTTATGCAAACTGTTAGAGGGCTATTCGAACCCTAATATGACAAACTTAGAAAACATCTGCGGCAAGTTTAACTCCTCAATAGAGAATATGAAACTTATAGTATGTAACGAACTTCAAAGTATAGATACAACAAAAGTTTTGAACTCAGATGCTTTGAAGAGTCTTATAACAGACAAAGTTGGAGTTGTTGAAAGAAAATATAAAGACCAAAGAGTTTGTGAAAATGTTGCAAACTTCATTATGGTTTCAAACAATGCTGTTCCGATGAAGTTAGAAAGTTCTGACAGAAGATATGTAGTTGTCAGAACGTCAGAAGCTCATATGCAAGATACAGAATATTTTGACGACTTAGCAGAAACTTTGACACCTAACTTTTACAACCACTTGTTCTCATATTTCATGACATTAGATATTTCTAAGTTCAATCCAAGACAAATTCCACATACCGAAGAGAGACAAACATTGTTAGAAGCAAACAAGAGTGTATATGAACTGTTTATAGATGAAACTGACTTTGAGTGTTTAGATGAAAGGTCATTGTACGATTCATATAAACAGTATTGTCAAGAGTATGGTTATATGACAGCGTCTAAACGAACATTCTTGGCAAATGTCAAAAATCTTTTAGATGTTCAGAACGGCGTATATACAAAGAAAAATTTTTCTGAGTAAATTTAAAAAAAATATTTTTTTATCCGATAGAAAAGATGGCAAAATATATTTCAGTCAACAAATATATGTCAGGACTTAAAGAAGAACTAGACCCATTCGCTTATTTGAATGTTTACTTCTACCATTTTGAAAAGTCTACATTTGACAAAGTTTGGAACATCGAACCAGTTAAGTTTGCTATTGTGACTAAAAATGGTGCGAAATTTGAAGACTTAGACATAGAAGGTTTGTTAGCAGTCAAAGAAAATTTTGACAGAAGGTTCTCAAACCTTAAAGAAGGCAAAGCATACAAACTTGTTATACCTTATGAACCAAAGAAAGCAGACGACTATGAATATTATGAGTCTAAGATAGTTGAAGTTCAAGGTAAATTGGGTAAAAAGATTTTAGAGTCTAAGCCAGTGTTTACTCCTAAAGAGGAAGAGAACATTGACATTGACCCAGAAATGTTCTAAAAATAAAATTTTATTTTTACATGTCAAATTTCTTTTTCTCTGGAACTGGTTCAGGTTCTTTCTTCTCTTCTACTTTCTTCTCTTCTTTTACTTTCTTTTCTTTCTTTTCTCTCTTCTTCTTTTCTGGTGGAGTTATGTCAAATTTCTCAGAACCATATTTTTGTAAAAGTTCTTTGTCCTTTAATAGCTCATCTATTCTGTTTTCTATTTCATCTTCAAGAACAGCGCATGTGCCTTCTTTGCATTCTAAGAACTTTTGTTGGACTTCATCTTTCCAATCGGCGTCATCTCTGTCAACAAGTCTGTCATTGACAAATTTTAAGACTGCTCTTGTAATGTTTATGGTTCTTGTCATATTCCAGAAACAGAACTTTAGAACAAATTCACCTTTCTTGTTTACACTATGTAAGATTTTATGGTCGACAGAAGTTTTAGAGTCGAAAAGCTTGTCTCGAATATAGATAGCGAAATCGCTAGACATTTTCTAAAAGATAAAAATTTTAATTTTTCTAAAAATATGTTAGAAAAAAAGTTTGCTGACATTGACAAGAAATTTGAGAATGTTTTAAACAAGAACAAGAGGAAGTTGGAAAATGCTCAGATAAAACCCATACATGACAAGTTCTTATTTGCTCAGAATGGTATAACAGGTCTAATTGCACCACCTGGGTCGGGTAAGACTTTCACTTATCTTAAAATGGCTGCACAACAACAAGAACTAGATGAGAAGAACCCATTCTATGAGTTAGTTGTTATTTGTAGTACTTCTGGTCAATTTGACCAAACCGTCAATTCGTTCAAAGATATTATAAAAGAAGTCTAAGTTAGTATGTATAAAAGATACTGAGTTGTTAGATTGGATAAAGAAGTACCAAAGAAGAGTTTTGAAGTATAATGCTATAAATGAGTATATAAATTCGAAGTTTAAAGACCCAAATGAGGAAATGCAGAGAATATTAGAGAAGAAACACTTCAGAAACAAACAGAAAGAGATAGAATACATTTCGAAGAAATTGCAATCTTACGATTGGAAGACTTACCCTCATAGATGTCTTCTTATCTTAGATGACTTTGCTTCTCATCCTTTGTTAAAGAACAGAGAACAAAGATATGTGTCGAATTCTTAAGAAGCTCAGACACTTTAACATCTCAGTCGTAATATGTGTCAGACAGCAAAGAGTTTAAGTAAGGATGTTAAAAGAATACTTACTGTATCATACTTTTCCCTGGATTGTCCGAAGACGATTTCATGGAACTTATGAAAGAGTCCATGGCAGGTAAGTTTGACAGACATGAACTATGGGAGAAGTACAAAGTCATACAAGACCCTCATACTTCTTTCAGAATTCATATCTACGCAAACAAAGTTCAAATTGTAAAAAGTCAAGCTTGAAAAATGTAAGTGTTTGAGTCTTAGTCTGTTGTGGTGCTGGGGCTGTCGGTTCTTCTGGCTTTGGAATGGACTCGGTTGGTGGTACGTCGACATTCGTTTGTGTCCTGTCGGATGGAAGGACTTTTCCTGTCGAAGGAAGGACTTTTCCTGTCGGAAGGAAGGACTTTTCCTGTCTGATGGAAAATTTTTTCCTGTCTGATGGAAAATTTTTTCCTGTCTGATGGAAAATTTTTTTCCTGTCTGATGAAAATTTTTTCCTGTCTGATGGAAAATTTTTTCCTGTCGTTCGACCAAAAAGTTCTCAATTTCGAAAATTTGAATGGTTTACGGACGGACAACTGGAAAATTTTTTCCTGTCTGATGGAAAATTTTTTCCTGTCTTATGGAAAAATTTTTTCCCGACAACTGGAAAAATTTTTTCCTGTCTGATGGAAATTTTTTTCCTGTTGGAAGGAAGAGTTCTTCCTGTCGGAAGGAAGGACTCGGAATGCCAGAAGGATTTGACAAGACAATTTACCTTATAGAGCTACCTGAGCCATCTGAAGTCAAGCGTAAAAATAAATGGTTCATCTACTCTGCTTGTTTGAAGTTGTCAAAATACTCTGTTATTTTTTCCTTTAACAATGGCAAATCTTCTTTGAAGGTAAGAATTGTACAACCTTTCATATCATAGTGTGTTTGAGGTAACGTATCTTGAACTATTTGTTTCACATCTTCATTTGGTGTCATTGAAATCGGTAAGTTTTTCGCGATAGAACCAATTTCTGTCAGATTTGTAAATCTTAGCAAGGTCGTAAAAGCTTTTGTTGTTTCTTCTGACTAAATGCAACATAACCATATCTCTGTCTTCTTCATTTTCATCTCTTCAGTATAAATCATATACTTATAGTTCTTTTCCTTTCCTTTTGGTACCGAACGTGGTATTCTTTTCTGTATGGTTTTGTCTTCTTTCATCATATCTTCTCTGCTTTGTACAAAGTTCGTCAAGAAGTTTACAAACATACCATGCATAGCGAGGTGAAGCCCACATTGCTATTGAACTAACTAGGAACTTATGAACATATATACCTTTTAGATGCGATGGTAAGTTTTGTCTGTCTTGGTACATCTTTTTTAAGTTCTTCATGTTCAAACTCACTGAGGAGTTCATGAGTGCTATTTAATTCAAACCAGTCTTGTGGTTTCTTGGTATCTGGAGCAAAACATGCTGTCAAAATACTTTGCATTTGGTACATATCGTCTTTGACTGAACGAATGAGACGTAACTGTTTGTTAAACTGTATGTACTCGTATTCTTCATTTATGTCTTCATGAACGATAGCAGTTGTTGTGTTCTCTGTTGTTGACATTACTGTCTTTACATACAAAATAAAAAAATAAATAAAAATAAAACTAACTTTATTTTTTCTATCTTTCACAAAAGACCAAAAATAAACGCTTTACATGTATTTTTCAGCAACTTCGTCAAATAATTTTATAGCTTTATCTATCTCATCTACTTCAAACGTTTCTTTACCTTTCGTGGGAGCACCATACATTTTCTCAAACTTTTCAAGTAGTTCTGTTTCTGCAGCTCTCATATCGTTAACAAACACAACCTTAACTCTATTGACTATACTGTCATATCTTTGAGTTATATTAAATGTTCTTCCTATCTTATATCTCTTTGTATTGAAGTCCTTCGGTTTCTGAACGATGTAAAGTAAGCCTTCACTGCAACGTTCAGTATCGAATGAACCATATGTTATGAAATTATATCCAACAACTGGGTCAATCCAGAACAAAACTATTGGTATAAGACTTTTTGTCGATGAGATATGTTCTTGTTCCATAGAATCTTACCGATATCATAAGCTCAGGATTTCTTGTTCAAAATTTTCTGAGTAGAAGCAATTCTAACCCAGTCGTGGGATGTTTTCTTTTCAGATAGTTGTTAAAATGTCTGACAAAGAATATTTGTTGTATTTCTTTGAGTATCTTACGTTTTTAAATCACCTATTCTAACCACTTTGGTCTCATTGTCTATCTTTTTAACTGTTTCAAACTCAGTGTTTGTCATTTCCTGTTCTTACATACAATAATAAAAAAATATTTTAAAAAACTAGCGTTATTTTATTTTGTATAAAAGATTACAGTTTATATCATGAAATTTGGTCATTTTCAATAAAAATATATTTTAGGTGAAGAGGTGAGATTTCACCTCTTTTTTCACCTGTTTTTTCACCTCAGTTTTTTTATAAGCGTTTCACATGGTAAACGTTATTTTTTAAATTTTGTGAAAACTCAACGGTTTGACACAAGCCCTAAAAATTATTTTTACTCAGAATTTTGTTGCTGAATTCAATAAAAATATATTTTAGGTGAAGAGGTGAGATTTCACCTCTTTTTTCACCTCTTTTTTTCACCTGTTATTTTATAAGCGTTTTACATGAATTGTATGATGTATATTTGAAATCCTAAACAGTTTTGTAGCTTCTATTTCTTCTTTTAGTACATCGAATGTTTTAACGATACCGAAAGTTTCTTTATACTTCTTCTTGACGTCAGATAGAAGGAAATCTCTTTCTGTTGGATAGTTTTTATTAAGAAATGTCAACATATCCATTTTATCTTCTGCTGGCTTTTCTGCTTCTTTCTTTAAGTCTGCATAGTCGTTTCGCATTCTTTTCTATCTCTTTGACTGAGTAGTTATATCTCCTCATTGCTGCTTTACATTTAGAACATTGCGGGTTCATTTTTGCGTTTATATTCTGAAACCTTACCTGCTAAAACAACTAAGGCGTCAATTGCTCTCTTCATCTCGAACATAGCGGGTCTTATTTGTTCGTTCCATACCTTACCCCTACTATCTTTATCTCTTATTTCCCAACACATTTTGCAACTAATGAAACAAAGTTGTCGTAGGTCTTAAATTCTTCGGATTTGTAAAGGTCAGAGATGTTCTTATATAACATGTCGCAATCTTTGTCCATAACTTTATGGTTGCAATGAAAACCAAGGAATTCATAATTTACCTTTCGTATGAACTTCTTTATTTCTACTGAGTCAGTAACTTTAACTTCAATTTCGTCGAATTCAGGAATAGTGAGTTTTTGTTGTTGGATTTCAGGCAATTTGGGTAAATGGTCAATAATGTCTGCATTTCATAAAGA